ATTAGAATGAGAGAGTTAGACAGATCAGAATTGTTTTTATAAGGAAATATCATTTCATAAAATTTAACATTTCTGGATATAAGAAATTTATGATTTGCAATATCATAAAGTTTATAACCTTTAGATCCTAAAGGATAACCAATAAAAACACATTTGACAGCTCTTTTATCAAACTTTGATCTGTCAGCTTTTAAAGTAGAAGCATACACAAGAGATCCAAAAACCTTTAAATGAGAGTAATCAGGAACTTGATTATATAACAATTCATAAGGAGATTTATTATTAAGAATAGAAGTAGGTAATCTGTTTATGATATGAACAGCAGTGAGAATACAATCAGACCAAAAAATAATAGGCAGACATGATTGAAATAAAAGAGATCTAGCAACTTGAAGAATGTGTTGATGTTTTCTTTCAACTCTAGCATTTTGTTGAGGAGTTTCAACACATGAAAGTTGATGAATAATGCCATTATTATTATTATAAAAATTTGGAAATATAAATTCACTACCATTATCAGTTCTAATGATTTTTATTTTAGTATGAAACTGAGTATTTATGAGATTATAAAAATTCATCATATGAAATTTAACTTCAGATTTGGTTTTCATCATAAAAACCCAAGTACATCTAGTATGATCATCACCAATGGTTAAAAAATATCTGAAACCAGAATAAGATTGAACCCTAAAAGGACCCCAAACATCCATATGAACAAGATCAAAAGCATGAGAAGCATAAGAAGTACTATCAGGAAAAGGTAAACATTTTTGTTTAGCAAAATGACATATATCACAAATGTTTTTATTCATATGGGAAGGAGCAGTACAATCAACAATAGATTTTAGTTTGTTGAAAGGCAGATGACCCAGTCTATAGTGCCAAACATCATTTTTATTGTCTAAAGGCTGAATGTTAGCAGAATTAACAAAAGGCAGTTTACTGGAAAGAGAAAAATTAGAAGCATTGTAGATATAAAGTCCACTTTGAAGATCAGCATAGCCAATCATTTTGTTGGTGAGCAGATCCTGCAAAGTAGCATGATTAGAAGTAAATTGAACAGAAATATTCTCATGTGAAACAAGACTAGATATAGATATAAGATTAAAATTAAATTGAGGAACATATAACACATTGTGAAGAGTAAAATCATTATTGATTGTGATATCACCTATATGAGTAGCATTAATGAAAGAACCAGTAGGTAGTTGAATATTAATAGATATAGGTTTAGGTGTAGAGTTATATAAACTGAAATTGTGAGTCATGTGGTCAGAAGCACCAGTGTCAAGAATCCAAGTAGAATATTTTGAAGTAGATAATAAAGCAGAATGATTACGTAGAAATAAAGAAGCATCAGGTGAGTGATCATTTGGTGAGACAACCATAACAACATTTGCAGAAGCAGATTTATCATTCTGAGTTTTCATGAACTCAAGAAATTTGTTATACAGAGTAGGATCACAAAGATCTAAGTCAGTAGAAGTAAAATCATTAGTGGTATTTGCTAGATGAGCATGAGTATTCTTTGTATAATGGGTAGATTGTGTAGGCTGTTTGAAGCCAGGAGCAATTCTGAGTCCTTTTGGTCCTTTCCAGTTGGGAGGATAACCAATGACTTGAAAGCACTTATCAGCATAATGTCCTTGATAGCCACAGTGATTGCAAATGATAGATTTCTTTTTGTTGTTAGGATTTTTGACTAAAAAGGCAACTGAATCAGGATTAGAAGGATCATGATTGTTGTTGTTAGAAGGAAAGGGAACAGAATTGAGAGGATGTTGAAGATTTCTTTGAGACTCTTCTTGTAGAAAGAAAGAGTAGACATTGGAGAGGCTAGGAAAAGGTGTTTGGAGAAGGATTTGACTCCTTAAATTGGAATAAGAATCATTAAGACCAACCAGAAACTTTTGTACAGATTCCTTCTGAAGCAGTAATTGATATTTCTCATTGATATTACAAGTACATAAACCACAAGAGCAAGAAGGAAGTGTTTTGAAATTGACATATTCATCCCAAAGGCCTTTAAACACATTATAGTAGGCAGTAATAGTCTGAATACCCTGAGAAATATTACATAGGGTTTTTTCTAGGTAAAAAACACGAGGACCGTCAGTTTTACTATACCTAAGCTGGATTTCATCCCAGAGATCTTTAGCAGAGGTGAAGTATAAGAAAGTAGACCGAATCTCAGGAGTAATAGAGTAAATTAACCAAGAAAGAAGTAGAGCATTGATACGATACCAGGCTGAGTAAGGCTCATGAGCCATCGATGAACGCCATCTTGTTCTTGACGCTAAAGGCCATCGTGACAGACTTCTTCCAGGCATTGAAATTTTCACCAGTTAGCATTTCGGAGATGATTCTTAATCCAGCATGATCGCTCGGATGTAGGAAATAAGGAGAAGACGGATCTTCAGTAGGATTTAAAGGGAATGAAGAATTCGAATTCATCGCAATAAGGTTTTGCGAAGAACTAGGGTTACGAATTGAAGTATTCGGATGAAAAGGAAATCGATTGTAGAAATCGAGATGAGAAAGGAAAAGAAAATTGAAGCAGCGATTAAAGGATCAAACCTAATCTGATACCATATTAATCAACAAGAACTGAAGAATTTGATCTGGAAATATGGATCTGATAATGAAACAACAAAGATGAAGAACGCAGAGCAGTTTTGGATGCGGAAGAAGCAAAAATAATGAAAAGCTTGAACCCTATCTATTACATTGTTCCGTATTTATACTACAGGCTATTAAACAGAGGCCCAATAGGGTAAAGGCCCAAAAATGTAAAAGAATGAAAGAATCAGCCCAAGTTTATTCTTGATACAAAGGTTTAAGGTCTCAAACTATATTGAAATCCATGGTAGTTTCAAGTTTGCATTCGCGCAATGGTTTGTAAGAACTAACAAAGAATGGTTCGTTATCTTAACTCGTATCCCAAGGGAGTTTTTATTCATTAGAATCATTTAACTACTTACTACTATCATTCTGATTAATCTTTTCTTCCAAAGAATATGAAAAGGAATAAGACTCAAATAAGACCAAAACAATGGCTAGGAACGTAGATAGGAGTCCGAAGTTTTTAACTCCTAAATAGGACTAATTTTGAATTGGAAGGACAAGAATACCCTCGATCCTCAAATAAAACGTGCACCGCATAGCCAACAAAGAGGAGCGCACCAGGTGGGACATGGAGCACATCTCTGAGATGCTACGTGATAACTGTCTGAGTCCTCGCCAGACCGCTTCTCGTTGCGGACTCACCGGCCCGCTGATCACCACCGGAACGATGTTCGTCGTCGCCTCGTCGGAGAAGTTGCTAGAATCTGTTATTCCCTATCGACGAACTCAGCAATAGTTTTGTTTCGTACCAGCCATATTTTAGGGGTCTAACACCAACCATGGTGGGGAGCGGCTCTTTGGCCGAATAATGGAGGAGGCACGCAGAAGCCGAATAAGAAGGGACGGGGCCATTGCACGACGACGGCAATCCGGAGCTTTTTTTTGTTTTACTTGTTATGTTTCGGTCAAATTTTTGGTTTTCTTTCATCCTAAGTGCTTTTTGTTGTGTTTCTTTTTCTTTCTTTTTTATTTGAAATTTCTTTTTCCAAAATGTAATTTTTTTTGTTTATTTTTCAATAATGTTTTTTCTATAGAAACATGTATTTTTTTATAGCAATGCCATTTTACATGATCATTGTTACATTTTAAATATTTAAATATATGATAATGTTAACATACTTAATTCACATGATCATTGTTAAATATGTGACAATGTCATAAGAATGTCAATGACAAAGTAATAAAAATGTCAATAAAAAACAACGTCAGTGACAATGTCATTAAAATGTCAATGTTAATGTCATAAGAATGTCAATGACAAAATCATAAGAATGTTAATAGAAAACAATGTCAGTGACAATGTCGTAAGAATGTCAATGACAATGTCATAAGAATGTCAATGACAGTGTCATACAAATGTCAATGACAATGTCATAAGAATGTCAATGATAATAAAATACATTCCTTATTTCTTTGCTTTCAGTTTGTTCGTATGTACAGAGTATTACCAAAGGGTTGCAGGTGCAATTTGAAATAGGAAATAAGAAAACAAGAAACATTAACAAACAAATTAAACAAACCAAAGCACTAGAGTCACAGGTCACGACTGCAATGTCATAAGAATGTCATAAGAATGTCAATGACAATGTCAAAAGAATGTCAATGACAATGTCATAAAAATGTCAATACAAAACAATGTCAATGTCATAAGAATGTCATAAGAATGTCAATGACGATGTCATAAAAATGTCAATAACAATGTCATAAGAATGTCAATCACTATAACAATCACTTTATTAAAATCATTTATCAACAATAATGTATTAATATCAATATCAACAATCTCCAATTACATTGACAAATTAAAGCCAGCACTTTTCTTCTCTCTAAAAAAAACATAGCACTTACAATATGTGTTGGAGTCAAGAGGAGGACGGAAAAAAATCAAAATTAAAAAATAACCTAAATCGATGAAAGAAGCTTCATGCCGCAGACACGAAGCAAAAAACAAGCATGCTGCCGAGCAAGGAAAAGAATGGACTAGAAGAAAGAGGAACATAGCAGGCCGAGGAGAAGAAGAAAAACATGACTGCCGTGCGGCCAAAGCATGCCACACGGCTCGAGCCTGCCGCTACCCCTACTCTCTCCGCCGCCGTGCTCGCTCCTCCGCAAGACTGCTCATCTGCCCCGCCTTATCTCATTAAGCTTTCTGTGCTGCGTGCTTTGTTCGACGAAGCTCTGTTTCTGGTTCGGGGACGGAGCTGCTAAGAGATGAAGACACAGGTGGCTATTTAGGAAACAGGGGCAATTTTGAAAACTTGTTAAAATTAGGTCATGTTTAGGAGTTAAAAAAGTCAAGAACTTATTTAATTACATAGAAGTTAGCTCATATTTAGCCCCATTTCTCGTAATAAAATATCTCATCTGCTACACGTGTTTCGTCATAAGAAGGTAGCAAGTAGCAACTCAGTAAGAACTTGAAGTCTTCAATAATCTTTTCAATAAACCCTAAGCCATTCGGTGCCAAGATGTCCTCCTTAGGCCTCCGCCATGCCCGCCGCCTCTGCACCACCCCCGTCGCCAAACATTCCGCTCAGCTGTCCATTTCCCAAATAAAAAATAAACTTAGACACGAGCACGATCCAGACGTGTCAGTGCAGATGTACAATTCACTCACTTCTTCAAATGAATTTTCAACTTCGAATGCCTTCTTCCGATACGCCCAAGAATCCACCGTCCGCCGTCTCGCAAAATTCCATCGATTTACGGACATCGAGTCTTTCATAAATTCCCAGAAATCCATCCCCCAAATTACCGAGGAGCCTTTTCTCTCATCACTCATTCGGTGTTATGGTATCGCGGGAATGTTTGATAATGCGCTCAAACTGTTCGATGAAATGCCTGAGTTGGGCACTCCACGAAGTTCGATATCCTTTAATGCTCTGCTCACTGCTTGTGTACATTCTAAGCAACCTGAGCATGTTCTGGAGTGTTTCAACAAGGTTCCAGTGAAATACGGGGTTGCACCTGATAAATTTTCATATGGGATACTAATTAATGTTTATTCTGAGATGGGGTCACTTGAAATGGCTATGGAAAAGTTAAGGGAGATGGAGGAGAAGGGCATTGAGGTGACACCAGTCACTTTCACTACAATTTTACACGGGCTTTACAAGAACGGGAGGATTGATGAGGCAGAGAGATTTTGGAATGATATGGTGAAGAAAAATGGCAGCTTTGCTGATGTCGTGGCTTATAATGTGAGGCTAATGCATATTCATGAAGGAGAGGTAGAGATGGTAAAAGCATTGATTGAAGAAATGCTTGATGCTGGTTTAAATCCAGATGCTATTAGTTATAATTGTTTGATCTCTTGCTATTGTAAAAAGGGTATGATGGATGAGGCAAAGAAGGTGTACGACACCTTAGGGTCGAAAGGATGTAGTCCGAATATTGCTACTTTTAAGACTTTATTGTTTTATTTGTGCAAACAAGGGCGATATATGACAGCATATAAAGTGTTTAAGACTAGTGTGAAGGTGCACAAGCTCCCGGACTTTGACACATTGAAGTGTTTGGCAGAAGGGTTGGTGAATGATGGCCGTAACGTTGAGGTGAAGGGAATGATCAGAACATTGAATAAGAAGTTACCTCCTAATCTATTGAAGGATTGGGGGAAGTTTGTTGATGATCTTGGCTTTACCCCTATGGAAACCAAGAAGGTTGATTCTGGTGCCAATTAAGTGGGCCACTAGGGAGGGAAGACAAATATAAAAAGATCTCCAGAAACAAATTTAGGTAGAGAGATTTTATAATCAAATCTCCATTTGAAGATGAATCTATGTCACGTGCAAGTCTTGGTATGATAATTCAGCGGTAAGGCATTCAATGGAACAGAATGAAATCGACAACTATTGAGAGCATTTTGTTAGATTTAAATGACATATGAGTTTCAATGCTTGTTTTGAGACGAAATTTCAGTGAGCTTTAGAAATTAGGTTGTTTTAAGAACTTATTCATGTTTAGGAACCTTCTTCTTTCCCGAGAACAAGAGTTTTCTTAAGTTTTAGTTGTCTTTAAGACCTTGAAAATTTGTAGCTCATAATTTATTTTCTACCGCATGTTTTTCAATTCTTAAAATAGCACCTCCAAAGTTCCAAAAGTGAATATGAAGTTTCAGCTGAGCATCTGGTGAGATTTCAATCATTATATGGAAATCAAACTCAATAAAATAAGATGATTAATAAACTAAAAAGAATGTTACTCCGTATATCTTTAAGTTGCGTGTGGCATTAATAAAATTACAAAGGATTTTTTTAATATTCTTTTCTAGTTGTAGATGAGACTATGAGAGAGTATATATTTTGAAAAGTTGTAAAGAAAGACAACTCAATGATAAAATGGTTTGTGGGCATTACTGAAGCTACAAACGGAATTGGTTTATTTATTTATTTCTAACTTTGTGGAAAAACTATTGTTGAACTAATTAGGAGAGTAAAATCTATTTATTAGTATTTGTTTCGTAAAAATTCTGATATATGTGCTGATGGTACCATGGACTCCAACCATGGTCCAATTACGGAATCACAGATCAAGCCCTTAGCGGGATTAGCCCATAAATTGGATTAGCCTTTAACGGGATCAGCCCATGGACATGATTAATATTAATTAGCCGCTGGGTCTAATTAGAAATCAGACTCACGACAGGAACTCACAACCAGGCCAGGCTACACAGCAGACCTCGAGCCTGAGCGGAGTTCTAGTGAGGTCGGGATATTCCTAGGGCTTACGTGGCAGGCTATCATTCGTGCATAGCAATCTGGCAGCAGGCAGGAATAAACGGCAAGAACGTGGACTTAAAGGAACAATCATTGCACAACGTCCAAAACGTTACGAGAGTCTTATTTGATTAAACATGTGATTAATAACATTTATTGTATCAGTTTCCTCATAGAATACTAGTTCCTATAGTCTATAAATACTTCATGTAAACTTCCTATCAAGGGACCGAACTCCGGATAATAGAATACTGTCTCACGCTACCATATTTTTATATGCTCTCGTAGATATAACTCTCGTAGTTGGATTAAACTCCATCATGTGCGATGTATATTTGATGAGATTGGGAGATAGATGATAGAGGAGTCCTACTTGCAGGAGCACAATATTTCTAAGGTTACAATGATATAATGACCTTTTCAAGGCAATTGAATCGAATCATGTTATTTAAGAATGTGTTTCGAAAATCTTTAAGTGAATAGAATTAAATTGAAAGATTGGCACAGATTTACTCCTCGGCTTTTGTCAGACGAAAATATGACCGATTTAGAAATTCAATTTTGCTAGGTGTACACCATTTTTGTACACCTTTGCTACCCCATATAAATATTCCCCTATTTTTTTTACCTCACTTCTTTTTCCATCCCAATTCAAAATTTTACCCTATTTTCTTTCGCCTTCCATCCCTCCCAATTCCCGCTCCACTCCTGCACCCACTCCACGATTTGGACTGCCATTTTCGCGGACAACTCACTCCGCTCTGGAGAAACGAACGCCGGACAACCCATAGGCTCTGCTCTGCTCTGGAGAAACGAACGCCGGACAACCGCACCCATCCATCGCTGGTCGAAGTTCGTAGACGGACAACCGAACCCTTCGAACTGAAGTCAGTTCGTCCAGGCGCTGGTCCAAGTTCGTAGACGGGCTGCTGTGCTCCAACTCCAAGAGTCGCTAGTCCAAGTTCAACAAAAAAAGAAGATAACTTTGAAGTCATGGTGCGAACAAGTTTAACCGATTTTGCTAAAAGGTAATATTTTCATCCTTGTGCAGTACTCACCTTACCATAATTGATTTAATTTGATTAAACTAGACCTCATTGAGTGTGATGTTTTATCTAGATGTTTGTCATTCATATTCCTGTGTCTGTCTTTTTTTGTAGTTGTCTGTCAATTGCCTAGAATTGTTTGTCTCGTGTTTTCAGTTGTCTGTGAAGAAATTTTAAATGTCTGTGCTGTGATACATAGATGTCTGTCATTCTTATTGAGTTGTCTGTCTTATTTTGTGTGCATTTTTGGAAATGTCATAGGGCTCTCGAATTGCAAATTCCTGTCTGTGACCACTTCCCCGCTCAAATATCACAGTGTTCTGAATTTAAAGATGCTGCAAAGTTGGTGAAATCGGGGTTGACTCCTGCGCAGCTTGCTGATTTTATGAAGATGCCGTGGGGCCATCTTCTTGATGTGCCAGAGCTTCACTTCTCAGCGCAAATTGTCCATAGCCTCTTGTTGAGACTAGTGTGTGACCAGCCTAAAGATGAACTATGGTTTTGCGTGAATGACAAGTTGTTAAAATTTACCTGTAATGATTTTGAATGCATAACTGGGCTCCGTTCTGTTGGTCCAACTCCGGTCATCTCCGATGTAGATGAAGGCAATGGGACGTTATTAGATAAGTTCTTCGGTGGTGCCAAGGAGATCAGCTTTGGGACCTTGACGGCAAAGATGCAGTCTATAAAGCCGAAAAAGGCAGGACCTCGTGGTGATCCTCTCAAGCTTGCATGTGCTTTCTACGTGCAATGTGCTTTGATACCGAGGAACAAGAAAACATTGATGAATTCTCAATTTCTGAAATTGGCGGATGACTTGGACAGATTTAAAGCCTACCCTTGGGCAAAAGTGTCCTACAATCTAATGGTTTCTCAGATAAAGACTCTAATGGTTGGTTGAGCTTGCATCCTACAAAAGAAGTCTTGAATGTCCATTGCGTCACCATTTCCTAATCTAAGTTGGCGCACCTTATCTATGTAGTTCCTACAATCCTTTTCCAGTTTTCAATAAATGGAAGTTCTTCATATCCACCGACTTCCACAACAGCGGAGTTGAAACTCTTCTGAATTGGTATTCCCGCAACATCTTTAATGTCAAGGTTTCTCATCATGTGCGGTGTCAACTTTCTATTACACCGAAACAGCCTTGCCTTGGTAGGACTCATATCATGATTATGATCTAACCATGACTTTGAAATCACCCATCCTCCGGCGTACTTTGTACGTGCTCTTATTCTTGCAAGGCAACCGACTGACATTGAAGGTTGAGGCTTCAAAACATTTTGTGACTGGCTGGCCCTACTTCCAGCACGAGCACACTCTTAGACAATCGCAGTGATGTTGCCTGTTTTGTCTTTACGTGAAGTTCATTGTCTAACACGAAAGCCCACTCTTCTACCATAAGCCTTGTAGAAATCATAAATTGCCTGTTTACTAGGAAACTCCATACCAACCTCAGGGTCTTTATTATTACTCTTTTCTTGATCTTCGTCTGTGATTCCAAACAAAAATATATGTTCATAACAATTGACAACACACAACATGTTGTCTGTCCAGACAGACAATAATATGCATAATTTATTTTCACAACATTCTTGTGGACATTCACAAATACAATCACATGTCCAAACACTTATAGACACTTTTACATAAAAACAACATTCACTTTGAAAACATACTACAACATACTCTTTTACAAATACTTGCATGTTCATACAGACGTTATTTCTACGTAGACAAACAAATTACATTGTCTGTCAGACAGACATTTTACACATGGGCCAAACAACAAATTAAACCTACTATGTTTTAGTAGACAGACACTGCACTTATAACTACTATGTTAGACAGACAACCCTTTTCATATCCCAAACACACAAAAAAATCAAGAAAATAAAATCAAGAAAAAATCAAGAAAACAAAACCAAGACAACAACACATACTCAAGCCTTCGACCTCTGGATCTTGTTCATTGTCTTCCCTCGACCTAGCATCCAGTTCGCCGGAAACCGGCGTACAAGCATCATCTTCACCTTCATCACCTAGCTCTCCAAAAATCATGCTATCCAAGAGTAAGCCATCAACCCACTCGGATGTATCATTCCCGTTTAGCTCCATTGAAGAAGAATTTCAACGGAGAAGATGAAGGAGGGAAGGTTGTGTTCCGTTTAGCTCATTCCCGTTGGTTCCGTTTTTTTGGCAGAATGGTTCTACGCAGGGGGGAGGGAGGGTTGTGAGAGGGCTGAATTTTTGGAGGGGGTAAATGATGGTAAAAATATGGGATTTTTATATGGGGTACCAAGGGTGTATAAAAATGGTGTACACCTAGCAAAATTGTTAGAAATTTACGCAAAAGTGATTAGACCAGACTTCCCCTTTCAACCTACGCTTTCTCTTCCCATCTTCCTCACAGCTCCAGGCCTCCAGCATCCAATCTTCCGCCTAATACTTTTCCAGCGTTTCCGTTCAGATCCCCTTCATCTCTTTGTGTCCGTCGTTTCTGTCCATCTTCGCGACTCACATGTGAACATCTCTATGCCCATCTCCAAAGCCCAGCTTTTCATATCATCAACAACAGAGGCATCGAGCTCGTTAGAGAGCGCAACCGGAGCTCAGGGAGTGTCACTGCCATCCTCGCAACTGTTGGATTGAGCGATTGTTGCAAGTGTCAACCCTTTCCCCTGAAATTCAAACCGACATCGCCGCCATCTCCTCCTATAACTCAATCACAACGAGATCTAACTTTTCAAATGTTGTCTTCCATCAGATCCGTCATCGACGGCCACATCCGCCGTCGTCGTTCATGTAGCGGTTGTTGCAGTTCACGACTAGGGTTTCTGCGTTGCGGATGGGGCTTAGAGGATGGGGAGGCACACTAGGGAGCGGGGCTGGGGCAGTAGATGGAACGATGCAGAGGGCAAAGTGTACGGGAGGGGGCTGTAATTGGAGGGCGTGGGGCAAGGAAGGGGTTGTGGCTGGAGGCGGGGAAGGGAGCTAGGCTGGGAAGGGTGACAATGGGTAGGAAGTGTGTAGGCGGTGGGAGGTCTGGTGGCGGATTGTGATCGGCGGTGGCGGGTCTCTGTGGTTGAGTCACTTTAGCAGCGTCATTGTGGTCGAAGTCACCATGTCACTATGGCGGCGTCACTGTCGCGGCGTCACTGTGTCATGGTGGCCGGAATCACGGTGGCTAGAATTAGTGTCACGAGAGGGATGTAACTATATATTTGTCACTGTGATAGGTGGTGTCACTGTGATTGCGGTGGTGACCGGCGGCGCCAGTGACACGTGCGGCGGCGGCGGTAGTGATACGGGTAGCAGTGAATTCGATAGTGACATGAAAATGTGCAGTGACATGAATAGTTGGCTATCACTTTAATTTACTCACATTTTTGTCTAAATTTAAAAAATGGTCATATTTTTGTCCAAATTTAAAAGTGGTCACTTTTTTGAAAATTGGTCTTAATTTAGTAATATTCAGAGAGAAACCCCAATTAAATTTGTAGATGTAACAATGTTTAATGCGGGTGATGATAATGAGATTAATTGAATAAAATTCTGATATTTAAAGTTGATGAGTGTCATATATCTAATAAACGCACATATGCATAACTTAATTTTTCATATTTTTTTTATAAATTTTAAAAAAATTCTTAAAATTACATTTAGTATAATCTTATATAATAACCACGTATATGAACGTATGCGCGCACACACTTATACATTATTTATTTAGTTTTAATATTAATATTTGAAGTATGATTATGATTACTATTTTAAAAATAGTACATATTAAAAAATAACAATATATGTTACAAAACAATTTTCACACTGATATTTCTCATCATTGTTATTACATTGTCATTAGTATTTTCTTTTATTTCAATTAATTTCTTTTCTCGAATTTTTATTAAATAATAAATGAAGGCCTTTTCCATGGATATAATGAAATTAAATTCAAAAGAAAAAAATATGTCCAGTTTTAATTTTTTTTCCCCAAAAATGTGACATATTGAGTGACTCAGCATCTACTAGTGACCTATCACTCAAATAACTATTGTAATTTTTGTCCAAATACTCGTACATAGTGATTAGTCATATTTTTGTCCAAAATTCATAACTACTCATATTTTTGTTTGGGAAAACTTTATTGGTAATATACATGTCATTTTTTCATTAATGAGGTGGGTAAAATTGGAGGGTTTACTAGGATTTTAAATATAGAATAGAATTTAATATGAAAAATTATTCAAACCAGCTTTTTTATTTTTGAGTTTTCGCATCAAATAGTCAAATAAAAAAATGGTTTACCAAACATTAAAAATAACTTCTAGAAAAAAGTAAAAAAATGGGTGATGGGCTTTTTTCTAACACAGTAACACTGTGGTAGTCTGGTATAGTGGTATATGAATGGGCATGTAAGTAAATCCGAGCATGACTGTAATTCAAATGGATAAGAAATTGAATCAAAGTTCATCTGGACTCCACAATAACTAGTAAAAATATTAATTCTACTTCCGTTTTTAATGTTTTTCTCGAGTAGTTTTCAGATGCTTTAATAAGAAAATGATATTAGTAAATAGTAGGAAAGATGAGATGATTGAGTAAGTAGAAAAAGTAAAACTTGCCAAATTGTAAAGCTTGTACAAAAAATAAAAGATGTCCATATGCATCCCAACAATAAAAAGGACTCTAAAAATGTGTTGACTTGGGATGGAGGAATATTTTGTTTACCCAACACTTATGGATGAAGATTGTCTTAAATTCTCCTTAAAATACGTGGCAGTCAAGGCATTCCTGTCTTCCATGGATGCAATATAACAACCCTTTCAAATCTGTTTTCCATACCATTTTAATTTGGTATGTCAACTACATTATAATTTCCCTTCTCTTGCAGAAATGGTTAGTTGAAATAATCCTTTCTAATTTATATACTATGTTTGTTAAATTATGCAGATGATGGGAGATTTTGATTTCTGCCCACTAGTGTTCAAGTCTACAAGAAAGAGGCACATGTGGATAATTGGAGGGCTGTTTGGAATGATTATAATGCTTCAGTATCTTAAAGCTCCATATGGAACCATTTCAGGATCTTTCTTTTCTCTTAAAAAATTTGGATGGTGGGGGAGTTCAATCACAGGGAATGAAACATACCAAAAGACTAATGTGAAGGAAAATAAAACTTCCAAGAATGGGTCATTGGTATTAGACAATGGGACAAGCTTGGTAAATTCAAAACCCGAATCGGATCGACATGATCACCCGGGTGATCTAACCATATCACCCGAAATGGGTAAAACTTTAGAGAATGGATATTTGCCATTAGAGCCAATGGTTTCACCTACTCCTTTGCCTCATCAATCTGGAAGTGATCCATGTACAACTTCAATCGGTTAGTATTATTATATGTTGGGTTTGACTTTTGTGCCCTATATAATTCAAGATTGAGTTTGGTTCATTCAATTGAATAATAAGACACTAGAGTCAAACTGTATTTAAAAGATTGAATTCAATTTATTAGCTAAGTTAAACTCTTCATTTTTGCTTTGTTATATCTAGTTCATAAAAAGATATTGTTAACCAATTTTATTGTATTTATTCAAGGACAGAATGATTTATCCACAACAACTTTTTCAGTTATTTCTCCTAGTCCTGAAGAAGTCAGGGTAGTGAAAAAGAATGCAAGCATTACACAGTACCCTCAAAGATTGCCATCTAACCATAGCAAATCATGTGAAAATCCGACGCTAATGAGAATGTCCTTGAGCCGGGAACGAATGGGAGCGGTGTCGTTCTCACAGATGAAAACTATGATGTTTCATAATAAATCCTCATACCTTCTTATTGTATGTCTCATTTCCTATTTAACTCAAGTTTAGAGTGTAAGATACCCTTTCTCTGTTTTAGTGATATTAAATTTCTATGATGCAGAAACAATTGTGGCCTTCTGTTGTTGATCAGGAACTGTTAAATGCTAAATCAGAAATTGAAAATGTTGAAAGTACTCAAGAGGATGCTGACCTGCTGACCTCTGTTTACTGGAACATTTCCAAGTTCAAAAGGTATGATTGTATGGAAATGGATTATAGTGTTTTTTTTTGAAAATGTGTTTTTAGTTTGCAACGGCAAAATGATTAACTTTACATATTAGTTCCGGGGGCGTAGCCACATCATTGGGCCCGGACTGGATCGGTACAAAGATTAAAACATTTTCTTGGAGATTTAGTGTGAATTTTACATGGGATTTTTTTACACTAAAAATTAAAACATTTTTAAAATTTGTGGCAGGCCTAGTTTGCCCCCCTTAACTCCGCAAGTGCATAAAACTGACCAAGCTTGCATGTGAAGTGGCATGGTTGTTTTTCTTGGAGATTCACATCTATGTTTTGAACAATTCTCTTTATTTTGGGGTCTCACAACATATATATATATATACTCATGATCTAGATATCCAATGTGTTGAGCAAGATATCCATTGAAGTTAGAACTCATTGGAGACATGACAGTTTTGCACCCAAATTAAATACTCTCATTTGAGAATATGAGACACCTCTACCATCTATAACTTCTTTCATTTGGAACTTTGAAGCTTAGTGGAAGTGGGGTGTCTTGTATATAAGATAACTATCTATCAACACAACTTCACTCTAGAATGAACCAAAGCTTCTCAGCAAAGGTGCAAATTTATTCTACATCGTCAGTGTGTTGAGTTCTTGGAATAGTATATATTTTCATGTCTAGTTTCATGTTCCATGCAATAAGCATATCTCTCTCACAAAATATACATACTTTAATTATCTGATTAGAGGCATTTTTGTTGCTTGCATGTCTGTCTTTCTACAATATCATGAAATATTTTGAAGTGATTATGAACTTGGAGCAGGAGCTACGAGTTGATGGAGAAATTTCTTAAGGTATACGTGTATGAGGAGGGAAAGAGACCAATATTTCATGAATCTGAGCTAATAGGTATATACGCTTCAGAAGGCTGGTTCATGAAGCAGCTGACAAGCAACACAAAATTTGTAACGAAGGACGCCGATAAAGCACATCTATTTTATCTGCCATTCGGTTCACATAATCTACGGAATAGCTTGTATGTGCCAAGATCTCACAACACCGCCAACTTAATAGAATATCTTAATAGCTATGTCGACTTGATCAAAGGAAGATATCCTTTCTGGAATAGAACATGTGGTGGTGATCATTTTCTTGTGGCGTGCCATGACTGGGTATGTCTATTTGTTGATTTTTCATATGGATTAGTTCTGAACGAAATGATCGAGCAAGGATATGCAAGGATTTATTATCTTACGTGGGTGCTATATTCTCATATCCTTATTAGGCTCCTAAGGAAACAAGGTGGCAAATGGCAAATTGCATAAGATCCCTATGCAATGCTGACCTAGGAGGAGGGTTCTTGTTCGGGAAGGACATTTCTCTCCCAGAAACGTATATGCATTCAAATCAGGACTCGGGAAAATACTCTGGAGGAAGTCCGCCTTCGGAGAGGAGCACTCTCGCATTTTTTGCAGGTCAAATGCATGGCCTCGTGCGACCAACTCTCCTGAAATACTGGGAAAACAAAGATCCTGACATAAAAGTTTTCGGTGAGGTCAAGAAGAGAGAGTACATAGAGCACATGAGGAAAAGCAAATATTGCATCTGCGCCAAAGGTTACGAGGTCAATAGCCCTAGGGTGGTTGAGGCAATTTCCTATGAGTGCATTCCTGTTATCTTGTCTGACAATTTTATTGTCCCATTTCTCGAGACGTTAAATTGGGAATCCTTTGCGGTTTTCTTGCTTGAGAAGGATATTCCGAACCTCAAGAACATACTTGAATCGATTCCTGAAGAGAGGTATATGGAGATGCATAAGAGTGTTAAGTATGTGCAAAGGCATTTCCTTTGGCATCCTAGTCCAGAGAAGTATGATATCTTCCATATGATACTTCATTCAATTTGGTATACTCGAGTTTTCCGAACCACACACTAGTAATCGTACGTATGTAGACCCAAGTACATATAAAACACATAGCGACTCATAAAGGTGATTAATATAGGTGGTTCCACTACAGGGCGCGCGCGCACACACACATATAGAGAGAGATAGGAATTCTCCTGTCCAACACCTTCCCATCCGAACGTCGTACGAGCACCGCCGTTTGGGGCGGTTCCCGGTGGAATTTTTTGAGCATGTTTCTCATCAAGTCTAGTTTATTCACACCAAATTTCAGATCAAATAATTCGTACGAATTATTCCATCGGGGAGGCAGTTTCTCATCTGAAATTCGATCAAAATTATATCGAGGAGGCAGTTTCTCATCTGAAATTATTTGATGAAATTATTTCCGAAATGCTCAATGAGAAACATGACTTGGTATGGATAAACTAGACTTGATGAGAAACATTCTTAAAAAAATTCATCAAAACATTCCACCGGGAACCGCCTTAAACGGCGGTGTTCGGACAACGTTCAGACGGGAAGGTGTTGGACAGGAGAATTCCTCTATATGTGTGTTCTCGAGACGTTAAATTATTATTTTTGATAATAATAACCAATAACGTGTTTTACTTAAGTTATAGTTCTGCCTTGTCACTATTTCTATTTAGACTGTATTTGTAATTATTGACATTATTATGGTAATCTTTGTTTATATTTATCATTTAGTAGTTCATCACTTCTAGATAGGATATTATATTTACTCTCTCCTTTTGACCAAACAAGTGAGAATTTGATTCTGAATTAATTTTACTTTTGATCCTACCAATATTTTGTCAATCTCATTGTTGATACAGGTTTTAAAACTTGTCGACGGTTAATACATGACTGTTGTTTCTTACTCATCTATGGTAGGTCTTTCTGTCTAAACTTCCGACAACTCTTGGGCGATTTTATGTTCCAGAAATTTCAATAAGAGGAACACAAATAGGCAATAAATAATAGTCGTGTATAAAACAACAATACAATGGGCAAAATTAGAGATGTGGATTAACATAATACTCATAGAACTAAGGGAAAATTCAATTCCGGAAATAGGAGTACAAATGTCTGAAAAACTTCAAAATAGGACTCTCATGTTTTTATTCTCAAAATAAAATTAATAACTATCAAGCTTGAAAAATACTGCCATGTTTAAAGTCTGATACTGCCAAAACATGACAAAAATTACTTATATTTTAGAAATAAAAACATAATAGTCCTATTTTGGAATATACGAACCTTTTTATTCCTATTTAGGGTTATTTTCCTATAACTAATAGTGAAATTAACTCCTTAACTGTTCAACATGCATTTACTATTTATCTATTTGATATCAAAACATGAATCCTTTGCAACCATAGCTCATCATTTCCTTCTCATCGCTCACAATCCACTACTCCTTTAAGTTAAACTAGCTATTGCACCCGTGCGTTGCACTGATTACACATAGAATTGATTTGTAAAATGAATTGTTTGATGTCCAAAGTATATACTTACTCCGTTCTTTTTTAATTGCAACATTTCCATTTTCACGCGTGTCAACAACAGCTTTGATTGTAATTATAATTAAAACTCTATTACTAAAAAAAATTAAAAATCATGTAATGAAAATTTGTAACGAAACGAATTCAACAATATTTTTGAAAAAGTTAATTTTTATACATAATAAATACAATGTAATCAATCTCTATGCATCTAACATATATCTATAGACTGAATATTGAAATTAATAAATCAAACATATATCATTACAATAGACTCAAGATAATACCAATCTCAAACAGAAGGTCAATGATTAGATATAGACTTTGCCTCCCACGAATGAGTCCCAAAAATCGTTAACCATGTCACGAATAAATGGAAGCTTAATCTGAATATGTCAATCTCTATGCATCTAACGTGACATGAAAAACTTACAATATTTTTCTAAACAGCTCAAAAACAAATGTACAACAACAAATAATAAGAAAGACACAACTAAATGAAATTGTATATACAGTTAAAACTAGTTATCCTTGTCCAATCATGTAGCTGTATCATCTTCGCTTGATTGCAATGGACATGTAGATATCTCACGTGCGGCAGGACTTCAATGACTTTTATTATCATCTAAAACATACTTGTCTGATAAAAATATAGAACCACCCTTCCAATCAATGGTGGTGATTTGTGAGGGGGATGAGCCATCAACAATGTCATAGACAATTTGAGGAAAAAATGACATTTGAGAAAAATCTATAGCATGTCGTATCGCTAATTTGAGCACAAACCACACATTGAATGACTGTCAAAACTGACATGATTACAAGAAACTAGACACACTAGGGAATAAATTACCGCCCAAATAAGCTTCAAACAATTTCTTAGACATTTATTAGCATCAAAGAAGAAGAGGAAAATAGCACTCTCGAAAGATGAACAGAAGGGACGGTTAGGATCTATTTTTAGGATGGTGACATCATCAATGATTCACTGAACGTATACTACGGAGTATAATTGATTAAAGAGAGATTTACCTAAATAAGACTGAAATTAGGTAGAATTGCAAAAACAGGACTGTTATGTTTTATTTGAAAAAAATAGGACTAAAAAGAGGCAATCTACCAAAAATGCCCTTAATGAAGAGTTCACAGGGGCCTTTGCTGCGCATATGCGATTCCCCTGCTGCGCAAACGGTGTGCCATGTGCGTTTCCAGGCCTCCAAGATCTGCTCCTCCACCAATGACGGCTCTGCCACCATCCATCAAGTCTGCCACCACCTTCACGCCTCAACAAGTACGCTGTCATCATTCTCCAACAAAAATCTACCCTCCATTGAGTCTGTGTAGACTTCCATGAGGAATGACACTTCATATGCGAGAATGCCACTTAATATATGCATAATGACACAATAATGACAATTTCGTATAGATACATGACATTCTCAATATGACATTTTCAAATACTGTAATGACATAAAAGTGGCATTTTTTAAAAATGACCAATAATGATACAACAATGACATTCTCTTATTCAAAAAGTGTCATTTTCTGGAAATCTAAAGAAGAAGAAAACAGAGGACCCAAATTTGAAGAGGATGGGAAGTTCATATCCAAAAGTTTCAAATCCAAAAGTTTCAAATAAAATTTTTTATTTGAATCTTAAAAATCAACAAAGCTCTATTTTGAATTTTAAGAACAACATTGAAAGCATAGAGAATCACGATTGGAACAAGCATCGTTAATCCATGAACGGAATCTTCAGTGTCTGGTTCGCCGGGAGGGTTTGGCTGGCCGGAGTGGTGAGAGGGAGGTTGTTGGCACCCAGGATGGATCGGAGATTTTTTTATGTTGAATAGGGATTTGATCTCAGGCTGATGGCGGATATAGTGGTTGCGTTGGGGATGTAGTCAATAGCGACGCAAATTGGGGTTTTAATCCCAGAAGAGCAAAACTGTAATGTGGAATCTCATTTAGGCAATTTAAAACTTGAAGTCCTATTTTATAGTTTTAACGTCTCATTTAGTATAATTTCTTTTGATTAAAGTGTTGTGGAAAAAGTAAGAAAGACGTAAAAAGACACAAAGCTAAGATAATGTACACATTAGTGTGAATTGCTCTTTTATGTGATTGTATCGAACCTTTTTTAGATTGATTAAGACCGCAAGGCTTGCAGATATGACATGTTAGCTAGACTGCTAGAGTGATAAGTATACAGCCTTTCTCCCATTTATGTGGTCATACTATACATTTGTACCATCACTACTACCATGTTTTACAATTTCTTTGTTGTTCCAAACATGTTTTACAATTTCTTTTTCTGCATGTTATAGCTCCAATTTATATGTGATTGTTTTAATCTCATGCAACACACGAGTTAAAATGCTAGTTTATGTATTATATCAATATACCAAAACTTGCAAAATTATGAAGTTGGAACGTGGAACAAAAAATACAAGACTTCCACCCGAACAATAGAAAAGGATCAAAAAGTAACTAAAATTTAAGATCATGATGGAGAGGACTCTAAAAATGCGGTGACTCGATACATTATATAGAAATTATAATAGGTTGGACTAAAAATTCCCTAAAATCCAAAAATAGGACTACTACATTTTTAACCCTCCCAAATAGGACTAAACATTAATTTCTATCATAAATAACCCTAAGAGTATTAATTCATAATGAAATGTTTTAATTCATAATAAAATTTTAAAAAATAATAAAAAATCATAAAAATTCTTACAAAATCGTAAAAAAATAATAAAATAACAATTAAATATTTATAAAATAAAAAAATAAATTTTTTTTTTGATTGTTTTATAAAATTAATAAAAAATAGTAAAAACCCATAAAACAAATATAGATACCTTTCCCACTGCCTCCCGACACCACCACCTTCGATCAGTGAAAATTCTTCCATTTTTTGAAAAAATGTCATTTTTCTGAAAATGCCAAGAAAAAGACATTATTACTCATCATAATGCCAAAAATCTCATTAAATCCACCATTATTATCGGTTACTTAAAATATTGGCAGATTTTCAACCAGTGATGGGAGCTGGTGGTGCTGGGGGTGGCAGGGGCGACGGCGTTTTTATTTTTTACGTTTTGTTTTTATTTTTTTTAAAACTTTTTTTAATTTTTTAATAATTATTTATAAAATTTTAATATTTTTTATTGTTTTTATTATTTTTTATGATTTTATTACTAATTAAGACATTTTAAAAGCTACAACGGTATATTTGTCTAAACACACATAAATAGTTCTACTGGGGAGATCGAATTAAAAAGATGTAGTCTTATTTGTGCACTTTGGCCATTTTTTGTCCTATTTAGGGAATTCACTCTATATTATACTCCCTCCGTTCTTTATTATCTGTCCCGCTAGCCTTGGGCATGAGTTTTAATAGAAAAATAGTAGAGTAAATGTAGAGTGTGTAGGGTAAATGATAAAGTAGGAAAGAGAGTATATTAAAAAGAGTAAAGTGGTGATCAAGTGATAATAAAGTACGTAGTAGGAAAGACGGTATATTAAGTAGAGTAAAGTTATGATAAAGTAAGAAAGAGAAAGTCGTTTATAAAAAGTAAGAAGGGTAAAAGTAATAAAAGTGGGGGTATTTCATCAAAAACTTCCCTAAAATAGAAAGAGAGAAATAATAAAAAACGCCCCAAAAAGGAATGCGAGACAGTTAATAAAGAACGGAGTGAGTATTCTGTTATGCCAATATATTTTCTTTTTCATGTGGAGATATATATGATAATTGGATATAGATGGTAATTGTCGGTGTTAGGATGTTTTTAATCCGACAATAATTTTTAAATTTGGTCTCGTCTATTTAAACCTGTCATAGTCTAATCTAGTAGACGTTTGCTTTATTTGTATTTCATAACTGTCAAAGTTTGTTTTGATTTGATCTGATGGACTTAGTGGGTTTAATGAGAATAACGACTTAATCGTTCAACTATGAAGTCATGTTTATTTATGACTTAACTGAAAGCATGACTGAATCATTCAGCCAAAAAACCGACTTAATCATTAAATTGAGATATAGCACTCCTTCCCATTAAGATGTATATTAAGGCGTCTTTTCTGTTAATTTTTTAAATCAATCATGAAATAGATTTATGTTATTGAATGAAATTTCATACTAGCTTTACAACTCAAGAATAATACTAAATTGATTATTTTACTCAATTCAGGTTGTCTATTCATCACAAAATGTAAACAACTTTGATAAGTCCGTATTTCAACACGCATTTGATGCGTGTTGGAATTGGATTTATTCACTTTTCTTGTCATAAATGAGTTACAAAGTGTCAATTTAACTCAAGTCATGGTTTACCGGGTTTGTGTCTTGCATTTGGCATTTTTAGAGCTATGTTCTATGAAATTTGAGCCTGACATCGGCGTTGGAGAGGTTGATTTGAAAGTTGGAAACGTTTTTGAGAGCAATTATGAAGCAACGAGGAGTCACGACAAGTGAACAAGACATTTGTTGAAGTCATGAGAGAAAAAATCAAGCATGGGAAAAATCGCGGGCGAAAAGGGGAGAAAAACGGTCAAAAAGTCAAGTTGGAAGGTCCACACGCCAAGTGGACAAGCCCCGCACGCTGAGCAGGGTGGCAGAGCTTCAGAAATTCTGGACGAAAGGTGCGCACGCCACGCGACCTTTCCCGCACGTCGTGCGAGATGGATTGGGGATTCCTGGAGGCTTTGCACACCAAGAAGACTTCACCTGCACGCCAAACGGAGGAATTTTTACGGAAAAGCTTCGGTGGTCTGCACACCGAGCGGACTTAACCCACATGTCGAGTGCACGACCGTACTACGCCCCTGCAGTCCCAGTTCGACCCGGATTGATCTGTTTTCTATTTAAACTGCCTATAAACCTCTGTTTTCAGTTATGAGGCTTATAAAGAGGCCTTGGACCAAATTTTGAGTAGTTTTACGCTTTGACATTAACGACCCTATGATTCTTTGTAAGTTTCATCTTTTTAATTAATGACAATTAGTTCTCTTGTTCTCAATTTTGTGGATCTGTCAATTATGAATTGTGAGTAGTTTTAATTAGGGATTTGAGATTGATGATCGAAGGGGTTAATTATGATCTAGGGTTAATTTCTTGATGGTTTGATTGCATGATCTTTATTTAATTTGTGTTTGAATATATTAATGGATACGGAGTATCTTTTATAACCTGGAATGACCACTAGGATTATAATTGGACATAGAATAATTTAAGATAGATCTAATTTATTATAGGACACTTTCACACACACTTAATCGTTCACTAAGATATTAATAATAGTTAAGGAGCCGTACGCTCGCTCGTTTTGACAATAATTTAGAAACTTGTCGCATGAGAGATCAGTCTGGTTCCCTAAATTATTGTAATCTACGGTGCAAGAGCAGTAAGAACTTAGTATTGACCAGCGTTGCTCAATTAAATAATTTTCATGTGATTAAGCCTGATCAGGCCCGAAATCTGATTACCTCAGAATCAACCACTGTTCCCTTCTATCATTAATTAGAAAGCCTTCCAAATTAGCTGTTTATTCGCATTAATTAATTTCCAATAACCCAATCTCGCATATTGTATTTATTTTAATCGTTGAATTTATTTAACACCTGATTCCCCTTTTCCGTTCTTGCGGAAACGATACTTGTACTTTAGCCCTATACTGCTACATATTTTTTGTGTGAAAGAACTCACATCAAACTTCATATACCAATACCACTTAATCCAGACTGAGGCTTTAATCCAGACAAACTAATAGCCTAATATTAAATTAGGAATAATTGTAATTTAGGCAACTCTCTTCTATTATACATATATCTGCCAGGATTCCTTATAGGAGATCCTTTCCCACTATTTCACACAGACATCTTAATCCAGACATACTTAATAAAAAAAGTAAACAATTCTAAGTATGGTTTGATATGGTCCTGTTATTGAAACGTGTGATCCATTTAAAAATCTTTTTTGGGAATGATTAGTATTTTGTTGAAGATGCGGTCTTAAAGTCTCCTTAAAATATGTCACACATTATGATAAAAAAAACGTCACACATGATATCACCAAAAAACGCGGGAGTCAAGGCATTCATGTCTACCATGGATGCAATATAAAAGCCCTTTGAAATTTGTTTTCCATTCCATTTTAATTTGGTATTTCTTTTATTATGCAGGTGATGAGGAATTTTGATTTTTGTCCACTAGTGTTCAAGTCTAAAAGAAAGAGACACATATGGATAGTAGGAGGGCTGTTTGGAATGATTATAATGCTTCAGTGTCTTAAAGCTCCATATGGAACCATTTCAGAATCTTTCCTTTCTCTCAAGAAATTTATATGGTGGGGGAGTTCAATCACAGGGAATGAAACATACCAAATGACACATGTGAAGGAAATTAAAAATTCTAGGAATGGGTCATTGGTCGTAGAAAATGGGACTAACTTTGTTAATTCAAAGCCCGAACCGGATCGACATGATCACTCGGGTGATCCGACCACATCGCCCGTAACCGGTAAAACTTCAGAGAGTGGATATGTATCATTGGAGCCAATGGTTTCACCTACTCCTTTGCCTCATGAACGTGGAAGGGTTCCATACACAACTTCAAACGGTTAGTATTATTATATACTGGCTTTGTCTTTTGTGTTAGATTTGGTTTGTTTTAATTCATTTGCTGGAACTATAAGACACTTAAATCAAACTATATTAAAAGATTGGATCACTCTATGTTTTATTAATTCATCATTTTTATTTATTTAGTTGGGACCCCTTATTAATTGAAGAGATTCTTGAAAATTTTAGAGCTTTCTAGATCGAGATGAGTAGAATTTTCTAAAACGTTCTGCAGCTATATCTCCTAGTCCCGGAGAAGCCACGGCGAACAAGAATGCAACCATTATTATTGCTCAAAGATTACCAACAAACCGTAGTCTTTCGTGTGAAAATCCGATGGTGAAGACGATGTCCTTGAAGCATGAAGGAATGAGAGTAGTGCCGTACTCGGAGATGAAAACCATGTCGTTTCAAAATACACCTTCATACCTTCTTATTGTAAGTCTGATCTCCAATTCAAATCAATTTTAGAGTGTCAAACAGGGAGCTGATGAGTATATATATTGCCTTTGACCCTTTTCTTAGTTTTAGTGATATTGAATATTTATTTTGCAGAAACAACAGTGGCCTTCTTTTGCTGACCAAGAACTGTTAAATGCCAAATCAGAGATTGAAAATGTAGAAAGTGCTCAAGATGATGATGACTTGCTCACCCGTCTTTACCGGAACGTTTCTGTGTTCAAAAGGTATGATGGATGTTCATTATTAACTTTACATTTTTGTTACTTTGTAGTTTGTACATACTCCTCCATTCTCTCCATGAAATAAGTTCACGCTTTTACTTTTTGGAAATTCCAAATTAGAGTTCTCATTTTCGTTTTCTGTAAGTTTTTATTGTTAAATGACTCTCATACCCTAATTTAATTTGGTGACAACTCCGGTACCCATTTAAAAAATATGGTACCGTACCTACTACTCACTTGATTGGTTCAAATCAATACATCATTTTTAATTTAGATTTAAATAATTCAACTACATCATTCTGATTGGTCCATTTGGACAAACGTATGGTACATTAAGGGTACCACAGAATCTACCATTTAATTTACCCTTCCTTACATATACTCTCTCTGGTCCTTATTAAACTTTACAGTTTGACTTCACACATATTAAGGAAATAAATTTGACTTTACTGTAGAGTACACTGTTTGGCAGTGTTTCACACTGTTTGACACTGTTTTGGTGTAGATTTGTTTGCCAAATAAAGCAAATAAGGAAGTGTAAAGTTTAATATGGAATGACCCAAAAAGAAAAGTGTAAAATTAATTAAGGACCAGAAGAAGTACTTTGTAGTTTGTACTTTGTACCCCACCCACATTTACCTCTTGCTTTATGAATAAAAACGAAGAAAAGTTATACAGTACTACGTAACTTTAAAATGCAGTTAACTTCCATAGAAAAATCATACATAGAAAAATGCAGTTAACTTCCAAAAATTATTTGACGACCTTCTGAATTGAGTTTTTGGCTAATTTTATTGTGGATAAACTAGACTTGATGAAAAACATGCCATAATAATTTCATCAAAAATTCCACCGGGAAGACGGCCAAAAACCGTCGGCCGGACGGCCCCTCTAGTGCGGCCGGATGCACATGAATACTCCTCTCTCTCTCTCTCTCTCTATATATATATATATATATATATATATATATATATATATATAGGTTTTGGTTCAAATAAGAACATGATCTTAGAAGAGAAATGAGAATGAATCTGGACCGTTAGATTTGCTTTAAGTGAAATTCAATGTGCATTAGATGAAACTGTAATGTGCATTAGGTGAAATTGAAATGTGCAACACAAATGGTATGATTCAGCGGCATTATGTGAAGCGAAATTGTGTATTAGGTGAAATTGAAATGTGCACTAGGTGAAACTGAAATGTGCAGAATAAAATGTACGACGTGATGTTATTTTTGTACCTTTTATTCTTCACATTTTCATTTCATCTAATGCACACTTGAGTTTAAATTTTTATTGTGCACATTTCAATATCATCTAATGCACATTTCAGTTTCACCAAATGCACAATTAAATTCCACATAGTACAATCCAACGGTCCAGATTTGTTCTCACTTCTCTCCTGAGAGTCTGTTCTTACCAGAACCACTCCATATATATATATAGGGGTGAGTTCTAATACAAAGGGGTATTTACATGAAAAGTGAGAAGTGATCTAAGCTTTGATCACTTCAAAATGAATGGAGTGGATCAAAACTCACGGTAAACCAAAATGTGTAATACATAATAGTAAAAGTGAAAATGCCATATCTAAGAGTGCATATTCACCTCCTAAAAAATAACACAAATGATTTCTATAATTGTTGCTTTCCACCACGAAAAGTGATGCACTTTTGTGTTACTCCAATGCACGTTTTCCCCATAGTCATGCAGATTTATCATTTACACTATTGGCATCGAATTTTTTAATACGAAGTATTACACTATTGGCACCGAATTTTCCACTTTAAAATTGATCTAATTCATTCATTTTCTCATTTTAACGGTTAAGATTACTTCTCATTTTTCATATAAGTAGTACTTTGTATTTGAACCTCCCTCTTATATATATAGGTAAAATGAAAGGTAAAATATGAATTACAGAGTATATGTTATTATTACGTGGGATTATTTGCCAATAAAAAAATACGGAGTATTTATTTTGGAATAACCTGAAAAAGAAATATGATCTCACTCAGCCAAACGTAATGGATTCTCGCGTCTTTGAGCAAAACGCCGTTTTGGTAACAAAGAAAATGCCTTTTTATTCCAATATTACTAAAATGAAAGAAAAAGACAAATTTGTGACATGTATTAATTTTTTCCAAAAATGTGAGTAAAAGGTATATTCCTTGTGTTTAATCATACATTTATCATTTTAATATTCATTTTATATATTTAATTAGTAGTCCTATGACCGCCGACGCAGCACCACCGCCACCGCCAGCACCACCACCACCACTGCCGGCACCGGCAAAGTAACTCCGGCCAAAGTGACTCCGGCCAAAGTGACTTCGGCCAAAGTGACTCCGGCCAAAGTGACTTCGACCACAGTGACTCCGGCCGCAGTGACTCCGGCCAAAGTGACCCCACCAACCACAGTGATTCCGTTCAGTGACCGCCAGTCACTGTCACCGTCGTCCCACCCCCCACCACCTCCCCTCCCCAGCCCACCACCCACTCCCCAGTCAACCAGCCCCCTCCCCAGTCAACCAGCCCCCTCCCCAACCCACCAGTGCTACTACCACGTCAACCACGACGGTCGGTCCTGCCACCGTAGCCGGTCACAAGCCGATGCCGCCGGTGGCCTGCCGCCACCACTGACCAGGCAACTTCCACCATCTGGCCCAGCCACCGTCACCAGTTGACCGGACCACCGCCACCGCCTACACCAAATCCTTGTCTTCCGCCACTTCTCTCTGCTCCGTCCGTAGCTAAACCAGCCCTGTCCAGTTTCAGATCTGGTCAAGATTAACCAGGATTTGCCTTCCGCCACTCCTCCCTCCTAAATACGACGAAGCACGTCACCGGATGGATGGATCTCGCCGCGGGAGGATGTAATTTCTAGTCAGATCTACAAAGCTCGTCTCCACCGTTGGAGGAGTTGGTGCGGCTTGGAGAAGGTGAAGCTCGAGAAGCCATTAGAAGGAGAAGAAACGAAGCGGAGCGTTCAACGACGGTTTGTGGACAAGAAAGGAGAAGAAGATAATGAGAGAGGAGAGGAGCAGGTGTAGGCGCTGCCGCTCTTCGTAACCACCTTCGTCGCTAATCGTAGCCGTCGCCGTCGATTGAACAGATGATGCATGGGAAGGAGATGGTCGACGATGATGCAAGCCACGGTGGACCGAGCTCCCCTTCCGAGCAGTTGATGCGGAGCAGATGGCCTCTGCGCTGGAAATTGAAATGGAGTCGCAGGAGGTGCGCTGGCAGCCTGGGATCTATGGGAAGGAGATGTGTTGGGCCCTCTTCAGATTTGTCATATTTTTGGAAAATAGAGAAAAAGTTATGATTTTGGAATTCAAAAGTCCAATGATTATACAGACGCCATTTTTTCCTAAAACTAACCCAACACGCTGAACAACAGAACACGACTAATTTTTGTTTTCCCCTAAAAAAAGACTAGTTTTTATTCATTTATAGGTAATTATAATTATAGCTCCCAATTCCTTTCAAAAAATAAATATAGTTTCCAATTTATACCATTATATTAATACACTCAATTCCAAATATCATCCTAAATATATAATGATTGTACACACTCTGTTTATAATCACTACACTTTATATTGATATTAATCGTTTAGATCTCCACCCATATATTACAGAGTATATATTAAAAATGCGATGAAATGTTACTATACTAAAAAAGCATAGAGTCTCTGCAAGTACCGGGGACAGAGTCTCACTCTCTATCTATCAGGTTGGGATTATAGTCCAATTTACATCCTCCCAACGTAACGTCCGGTCGGGGTTGGGGGGCCCTCAGGGATGAGGTGTCATTTTTCAGAGTATATATTAATATTAATATATATTAATATATATATATATATATATATATATATATATATATATATATATTGATATTAGTTCGGCGAGTTTTGTGTCATCTGATGCTAACAAAAAAAAAAGAGAAATACATACACATCAGTCAGTATGAGAGGGCTTTCCTGCCTAAAGCCGTGACCTAGTGTGGTCACATAGCATGTGCCAAACGGTTGAATCTCCAATCCCGAGAGCCTTCACGCCCCGGTCCGACTCAAGCAAAACACAAATGCTAAATCATTTTTCCACCGGGGCACAAGAAGTCTCATCTCAGGTTGAATATCTCATTTAAAAATTCTGATTTCTTTTTAAAGAAATAACTAACAGTCTTAAATCAAAACTTAATAATCACATACCAGTTCGTATACCGTGGGAGCAGCCCACGGTGAGCATGGTGCTCCCACAGAAAAAAAAAGTGTGTTACTGTTCACGCGCGTTAATAGCAAGGGTTAACATAAATGATGAATATATATATTTTTTGATATTAAGTCCATAAAATTATTTTTAAAATATATTTTTATCCAAAACACATATTTTTTTGGAAACATTTTTTTTTTGCATAACAATGATTCTTTTGTTTCAATAGTAGGCTTTATGTTGTGATGTAATTCGTATTACAGAAAATGTAACTCGCGTTGATTGAAAATCTAACTTTAGTGTATGCAAAATGTATCTTGTTAAGGAAAACTCAAATGTAACTCGCGTATAAAAAGATGTAACTCACACACAAGAAGATGTAAATCGTGCATAAGAAGATGTAACTCCATAAAATATCAAATTTAATCATAGAAATTGTCTATAAATATAACTCACACATACGAAAAATGTATTATTCTCATGTTTTTTCAAATTTAAATCGAAATAAACAGCCTTAATGTCTATAAAACATATAAAAGAGATAAGAAATATATTATAGAAAAAAGTACATGAATATAAAAAATATTTTACAAAAAAGTGTATAATAAATATTAAAAAAGTATACAAAGTAAGAAATAGTGTATGAATATGACATACAATATACTTATTTTATGTGAATAAATAAAATTTTGTATTAAATTGGTAAAGAAAAAAATTAATTCAGTTAGAATTTAATTAGTTCAAGATAAAGATAAGTAAAATATCACAAATAATTAGATGTAACTCGCGCATAAAAGTATGTAACTTGCGCATAAGAAGATGTAACTAACGCATAACAAGATGCAACTCACGCATAATAACATGTAACTCGAGTATAAGATGATGTAACTTCGTATATTATCAAATGTAACCCAAGCTAGAATCAAAATAAACAAACTCAATAAAAAATATTGAGTGTATGCATGTAAAAATATATTACAAAAAATATATGAATATAAAAAGATATTACAAAAAATAGTGTATGAATATGAAATGCAATGTACTTATCTTATTTAGATTATTAAACTTTTTGTTATGTATTGATGAAGAATAAAAAAATAGATTCAATTATAATTTAAATTGAAGATAAGAAAAATTAAAACTGCAATTAAATTTTTAACATTTTAATTTGATGGAAATGGAGAAGAATTGAAAAAAAGAAAAATAAAATAAGAATAGGAAAAAAAGGGAAGGAAGAAGTTCCAGAGAGAAAAGAAAGCAACCTAACTTGCTAAAAGTGGGATCGGCACACCATGCGGAAGGTGGGCCGATCCCACGGTATAATTTGCGATCACATACTCCGTATTAAAAGAGTAACACTCATAACATCACAATCATCATCGTCATAACTGCATTATATTATACCCATAGGCCATAACTACGAATCTACTCAAGAACCAAATTAATTAATGTTTGTTTAATCACATGCACTCATTTTAGTCGGTTATGAAGTTTAATTAATGTTTTACTGTTATTTGAATAAATCAAATCAGGAGCTACGAGTTGATGGAGCAGACACTGAAGGTGTACGTGTATGAGGAGGGAGAGAGACCAATATTTCATGAATTTGATTTGAGAGGTATATACGCTTCAGAAGGTTGGTTCATGAAGCAACTGACAACTAAAACGAAATTCGTAACAAAGGATCCCAGCAAAGCACACCTATTTTATCTACCATTCGGTTCACATAATCTCGAGCATACCTTGTATGCGCCAGACTCTCACACACTTACCAACTTAATAGAATATCTTAATAGCTATATCAACTTTATAAAAGGAAGGTACCCTTTCTGGAACAGAACATGTGGAGGTGACCATTTTCTTGTGGCCTGCCATGACTGGGTAGGTTTATTTACTGGTTTTTATTTTGATTGGTTTTGTTAGAAAATACTCTATATATGTTCTAAATTGTTTCCTTGTTAGGCTCCTGAGGAGACCAGGCATCACATGGCTAATTGCATAAAATCTCTCTGCAATGCTGACCTACGAGAGGGCTTCTTGTTCGGGAAGGACACTTCTCTCCCAGAAACTTATATGCGTCCAAATCAAGATTCCTTGAGAAACATTGGAGGGAAAGCGCCCTCTGAGAGGAGTATCCTCGCATTCTTCGCAGGGCAGATGCACGGCGATGTCCGGCCCACTCTCCTCAAATTCTGGGAAGACAAAGACCCTTCCATGAAGATCTTAGGTTACGTGAAGAAGAGACAGTATATGAGGCACATGAAGAATAGCAGATACTGCATATGTGCAAGAGGGTACGAGGTTAACAGCCCCAGAGTTGTTGAGGCGATTACCTACGAGTGCGTTCCAGTCATTATATCAGACAACTTCGTTGTCCCGTTTCTTGAGACCTTAAATTGGGAATCCTTTGCGGTTTTTGTGCTCGAGAAGGATATTCCGAATCTCAAGAACATACTTGAATCAATTCCCGAAAAGAGGTATACGGAGATGCATGAGAATGTTAAGCGCGTACAAAGGCATTTCATTTGGCATCTTAATCCACAGAAGTATGATATCTTCCATATGATACTTCATTCTATTTGGTACACTAGAGTATTTCGAAGCAGGCACTAGCTAGTGCGTACTCCGTAATAATATTACGTACTTCACTCTCAAAATGTTGGCTCTCTTTTTGGTGTATATATAGAAACATCTAATGACCATCTAAGGTGACATATATATGTACATTTCCGGTATGAGATTTATAGCTTTAATGGGTCTTTCAAATGAGACAAAATCGATTTAAAACGAAACAAATATTTAGTTTGTACACACTATTGGTACACATTCTAACACTGTCTGTGAGACGTTTTTTTATTCTGTTCCAGACCAAACGTATTTGTCAAATACGTTTTGTCTGGAACTGACATAAAAAAACGTCTCACAGACATGAGTGTGTAAGAGTGTGTACACAAACTGTGTAGCCCAAGTCTGATTCTTTTGTATATAGAGACAATTTGAAGTGTTTGATTTGATAATTTCTATACATTCTATTCCATTTATCTCTTTAAAAAGATCCTTTAAAATTGTGAAACTTGTTTTCATAATTTTACAAATATGCTAAGTGTTTGTTTACTTTTTCTATTAATTCTTGTTTGGATTGAGATGTTTATTTAATTTAAAATATTTCTATGAATTAAGTAGTATTTCTACATGAGGTTGTTTGTGTTTTGTGCTACATAAACGGTGTTAATCGACTTAGATAATCAATTAAGTAATATTCTAGGTTTATAATGTCGATGAGATATTTCATTTGTTAACATATACGCGTGTGTGTGTGTATATATATATATATATATATATATATTTGATTGGAGTTTTTTCCTAAAATAATGTTAAACAAAAAAAATAAGGCTAAAGTGTCAAATAGGTCCTTGTACCCTTTGGGATTGCTCAATTTGCCCCCTCAACCCAAAAAAGCTCCAATTGGCACTTGAACTCGATAAAAATATTCAAATTTCACTTTTTGCAGGTTTCAACCTGGTAACCGCCACATCACCCGGTAGGGTGCCAACTGTGCATTTGACGTGGCAACTTAGGGGGTCAAATAAGCCCCTGAACCCGATTGAATCGTTCAATTTACCCCCTCAACCCTATAAAATGTCAAAACATTTTTAAGGGTTGAGGGGGTAAATTGAACATTTCTGTCGGGTTCAGGGGCTTATTTGACCCCCTAAGTTGCCATGTCACATGCACAGTTGGCACTGTGCTGGGTGATGTGGCGGTGACCGGTTTGTGACCTGCAAAAAAGTAAAATTTGAATCTTTTTATGGAGTTCAGGGTGCTAATTGAAGCTTTTTTTAGTTCGGGGGCAAATTGAACAACCCGGAAAGGTACACGAGCCTATTTGATCCTTTAGCCAAAAAATAATTACCATGAAGTGACGGCTAGGCAAATACGGTATTACATACGGAGTACATTCGTAGATCAATACTAGCAAGCACGTGGTTGCCAAATTTAAAAACACTTATTTTGTTTAGATTGGTTTACTTTTTTATTTTTATTTGTATTCTGATTGTTACAAAAAATATATCAAAATTTATAACTATCTTTCATATGACATCAATATTGCATATATAATAAAAAAAATAATTAAGCACTTTAAAAAGATTTTAGGTTTTTGAAGTGGTGTAATTTTTTTATTTATACCCCGATTGTTACATAAAATATATCAAAATTCATGATTTTTTACTTTCTTTCATATAACACCAATATTGCATATATAAAAAGAAAATAATTAAGCACTTTAAAATGACTTTAGTTCTTTACAGTGATGTAACTTTTTTATTCGTACTCCAAATGTTACAAATTATATATCAAAATTGATAACTTTTTATTAACTTTCATATGATACCAATATTGCATATATAAATATAAAGTAATAGTTTAGCAATATTGCAACAATATAACTTGCATATGATACCAATATTGCATACTTGTCATAAATTATATATCAAAAGTGATATATATTACTTGTCAATATATGCCACATCGATCTTGTTTCTGGATTGTTTATCAAAAGAATCAGTCAATACAGTCACTTCAACTACAATTTCATAAATTTCAGCAGAATCATCCAATACAGTCGATTTCGGTATTACCAAACGGGCTCTAATACACTTGAATAATAAGCTACATTGTGATAAAAAACTAGTAAAGATGATTATTTAAATAATAGTTCTTGTTAATATTTCATTATATGATGTTTTCAATTAGGGAAATTCAATGGTGCATGTAGTAATTCTGGGGGTACCTGTACATTTCCTTGGTTGGGCAAATAAGGCAGCAACACGTGCATGTATGCTAAAACATATACGGCTTATTAATAAAATGGCATGCGTACTTTTGAACTACACGTATGGTACCTACTTAATTTTGACAGACACCGTAGAAGTACCCTTTCAATTATTACTTTAGTCAATACTTGTTTTTCTCAATTTAGTTGTTTTTTACTCAAACGACACTTTTTGACCAGTGATAATTTATTATTCAATACACTACATTTCCTACCTCGCTCGAGTATATTCGAGATTTGATTTGTGACAACCAGGGTACTAAAAGACGCTAGACGCTAGTCGGGTGCCAGCCCAACACTTAGTGTCTAGGTGGTTAGATGAACGCCTAGAAGGGAGTTGGTCATAGATATAGAAATTATAGTTTCATCAATATTTTTACATAAACATGATGAGCAATGTTGTGTTTGTGTGTGCTAAAAAATGCACACACATACACATTAACATGCATGAATGATACAGTTGTCACATTTAATAATATATTATAGGAAAAAGTATGGGAAAGGTACATGTGGTTGGCCTGTTTTCATATAGCCTCATCATTTTTTAACAAAGTGATTCATGTGTTTGAACTCCATTAATTATCACAACAGGGTCCTGACACCTGACACCTTTAGAAATCACCGGAGGAAGACGATGAACAGTAACTCTGGTTTTCAAAAGTGCCCGGAAAATTAGAAGAAAAATACCGTAAGGTGCCGCTCAACAAGACGATCGCTAAGCCATCTCTCTTTTTTTGTTTCCAACCACCCCTTGTCACCGGAAATCTACCAAAAAAGTGATCTTAGCTAATTCATTTTAAAAAAATAATCCAAACAGATCCTAAAAAGCCAAAGACGAAGCTCGTTTGAAGGTCATCTTGATGAGGCGCACCTTCCAGTGATTTTCTTTTAATTTTCTGGACACTTTTAAAATTCGGAGTTACTATTTGTCGTCTTCATCACAAGCGTTTTTAACGGCGTCATGTGACAGGACCCTCTTGTGATAATGGAGTTCAAACACATGAACTATTTTGTTAGAAATTGAAGCACATGACTCTATCTGAAAACGAATCCAACCACAAGTAACTTTTGCGTACATTTCCCTATATTATACCTACTCACTTAACTTCATTATGTAATAAATATTACTAATAAGTGGGAATTTTATCAATTCAGGACCCAAAAGATAGATTAATTATCAATTCAGGACCCGAAAGATGAAACATATCAGTACAGGACCCGAATGATGGAAAACTATCAATTTAGGACCTAAAGTTTCACAGGTTTTGATTTATTTAATTTTTTTTATTAATTCTATTACTAATTTTTGATAAACTTTTCTTTACAAAAGTTTATTAGTTTAATAAAATGAAATAATATTTAAAATTTTTTAATAAAAAAATTATGACAACTTAGGTCCTAGATTAATAGTTTTCAATCATTCAGATCCTAAATTGATAATTTTTCATTATTCGGGTCCTATATCGATGCATTTTATCTTTCAGGTCCCGAATTTATAATTAATGTATGTCCTGAATCGATAAGATACCTATTTGTCATTTCATTTAGAGCAATTTTCACTGCCATACTTTACCGGTCATTTCATTCATTTTCCTTTGTTTACTACTATTCCCTTTTTTCTGCACAGATAAAATTCAGTTATTCAGGTCTGGTGTTGGCCAACCACATGGCGGGTTAGCTATGACACTTGTAAGCAGAAGTCTTAGAAACCCGCCCGCACCGCATCCCTGCCCCCAATACTCTATGTTGAATTCAACAACCCATGTTCTCACTTCAATACTTTTTCTAATACGACTTTTTTTCTTTTTCAAAAGAATAGAAAACAGTGAAAGTTTTTAGAGCTTTATTCAGGTAAATCTTCTGCTTCACTCCTTAGAATTTCCGGTATATGACCAAAATTTGATAAGATTTCTTTTATTATCATGTCAAAATGGGTAGTTAAATTGTTTCTTTCTAAATTATAGTCTCTTCACTAAATTCTGCAGGTGGTGATGAAATTTGATTGCTATGTGTCAGTGTTTAAGTGTGAAAGAAAGAAACACATATGGCTAATTGCAGGGCTGTTTGGTTTGGTTATAATTGTTCAGTATCTTAAATTTCCATATGGAACCATTTCAGGAAGTTTCTTTTCTCCTGGCAAGTTTGGATGGTGGGGTTCAATGATAAGGAATGAAACCCACCAAATTGGTAATCTTAGTTTCAGTTCAGAGATGGAAACCAAAGATTTCAAGAATGGTTTCACATTAGGAAATGGATCTGACATTTTAAAATCGAAAAGCAAACCAAATGAGATGAGTATACCTCCCGAACCTGCTACGAGTATCGTGTCTGGTTATGTAGCTTTAAGGCCCATGGCCTCACCATCTGCTTCTTTGTCTCAATCCGCTAGGGATGCAATCACAACTTCAGTAGGTCTGTATCATTAGATTCAGTTTTATTAAGATTCGAGATTTGATCCAAAAAACTTCTTTGAATGTTCCACACTTCCACATCCTATGTTTATGAAAATATATGTTTAATATAGCTGTTTCTATTGTTGTTTGTTTGATACAATGGTTTGGGTATAGCTCTTGATGTTATTATGCCCATTTATCCATCTATCAATTTGTTCATCTGGGTTTGTGTTGAGCAGCATGCTAATGGTGTCTCACATTGATATGCTACAGACATATGTAGAATATATAGGTATGAGTTTGTTTTGTATCTTTATATTCATTCACTGTTGGATGATTTATCATTAACTGATCATGCAGTTATTACCCCTAGTCCCAGAGAATCCATAGTGAGCAGAAATGCGACCATTGCACTTAACCCTCACACATTGCCGAGTGACCATAGTGTTTCTTGTGAGAATCCTATGGTAAAGGAAATGGCCATGAAACATAAAGCAATGGGAGCAGTGTCATTTTTGGAGATGAAAAATATGTTGTTTCATAATCAATCTTCATACCTTCGAATTGTATGTCTGATTTCTTATTCAAACAAGATTCGCTTAGAGTGTGATGTACGTGTGTGTCAGTGTGTTTGTGTGTGCGAGTGTGTGCGCGTGTGTCTATATATATGTTGCCTTTGACCTCTTTATGTTTGTAGCGATTTTGAATGTTTATGCGCAGGAACCACTTTGGCCTTCTGCTGTTGATCAACAGCTGTTAAATGCTAAGTTTCAAATTGAGAATGCAGATAGTATTCATGATAGTGATGACCTTCATGCTCCTCTTTACTGGAATGTGTCTAAGTTTAAAAGGTATGCATACGATTTATGGAAATAACGAGCCGGCCTTGAGCGAATAGTGTGCAAAGTACAATTGTTGGAATACCTTTATCTCAAAATGATGGTACCAACTGACTATTCACCGATCAAAATGATGGTATCAAATTTTTGTCATATTCAAATTCAACTTTTGCTATTCAATACACTTTTAGAGCCCGTTTGTTGATCCTGTTATTCGGCTTATCAGGCTTATCAACCAGTTTTCTCACCAAACACGTAACTTTTGATTTCGCACGCTGAATTGTGTAATAATAAGAAAAAGCAAGGTTGGAGTTACTTTTCTGGCTGTATTGACTGAAGTTACCGTAGATTATCATTTTAGCTATTTTATCATATGTTTTTTTCTTCATTTTATTACTCGTATTTAAATTTTTATTAAATATAACTTTTTCATAAATCAGCAGAATCAGTCAATCCAGCCACTTCAACCAGAACTTCATAAATTTCAGCAGAATCAGCCAATTCAGCCAATTTTAGTGTTACCAAACAGGCTCTTAATGAAGTTTCTAATTTTTTAATTCTAAGTAAACTTTGTTAGATCTTAATTTTTTCATCAGCAAACCTCAAAGTCCGCAATTGGACTATCAATTTCGGACGGAGGAAGTAAACAAATATATTACATCTTTAACTAGTTTCCTACTACTATCCTATTAGTTGAACACTTTAGGATGAATCCATATGAAAATCTTTGCATTTGCTTCTATTTTTGAGAAATGATTTATTTTAGATTTAATATGAAAAACGATTAATAACAAGAGTAGGTGTTGTTTAGAAGAAAGTGATTTAAAAAAGTAAGAGTTAGAATATTGCCGCACAAGTATTTTTTAGTAATAGAAAAAGTGAAAAACATTTTTAAGCACTCATTCGACTGCTTTCAGCTTTAAACTGCTTAATTATAAGCAGAAACACCTCTTTGAAAACACTATTTTTTAGCCTTTCTAAAGAAAAAAGCAGAAAATCACGTATTAAGCCGTTGCAAAACTCCTTCATTATTGTATGAGTCAAATTCAGTTGTGATTTGATTGTTTGTTTGACACCATGAAACTACTAAATTTGTAATATTCCGAATACAATAATATAAACTCCTACAAGGGTGTTTTCATATGTTTATTGATTTTGTGTTTAATTCTTTATTATTGATTGAATATAGTAATATTGGAACTTGTTCATGAGTATTACCGGGTGGTTCCCAAGCTTCACATATCCATATCATCGGTTAATGAGCACAAATTAAAATATGTTTCTCAATTAGTACTCTATTCCTCCTATAGTCCTATGAATAAATTAATTAATTATAAATGTGTTTTTAGTTAACAAAAACAAAATTAAACCATTCATACCAAGAACATGATAGGTCTACTTTGTGTTAGCATGCACATGAGGCCTGAGCATTAATTTGTGGTTGAATAATCCAACTTAAGCTGTCAAATATAATGTGTAAGTGAATTGTGAATTTTAATGTTTTCTATTTATTTTTTTATTGTTATTCATCAAAAACAGAAGCTATGAGTTAATGGAGCAGACACTGAAGGTATACATTTACAGCGAGGGAGAAAGGCCAATATTTCATAAGCCTAACCTGGGAGGTATATATGCTTCTGAAGGTTGGTTCATGAAGCATCTAATAGCCAACACAAACTTTGTAACAAATGACCCCCAGAAAGCACATTTATTTTACCTACCTTTTAGTTCTCACAACCTTGAACGAAGCTTGTACGTGCCAGACTCTCACAGCTTTACCAACATAATCGAATATCTTAATAGCTATGTCCACTTGATCAGTGGCAAACACCCTTTCTGGAACAGAACATGTGGAGCAGACCATTTTCTTGTGGCTTGCCATGACTGGGTATGTTTGTTTAATTGATTTACGTTAGTTTTGTAGTTATTTGTTTTACTATTTCGTTAAAGTGGGAAACTGAACATTCAATGACATGTTTTTATGTTCTCGAAACATTCTGAAACATACTAGCTGAGATTAGATGACTTGAGGGCAACCAAGCATTCCAGTCCAGCTGGTTGTGAGGTTACCGTGCCTAGTGAGAGGTCTCGAGTTCGAAATCCGCTAGGCACATAAGGGTTTGAAACTCAATGGAGTGAGTTTCAGCCCTGATTACTCCAAACCCCCAGCCCCCTCCGCCAGACCCCCTGGAGTAAAAAAAAAATAGATGACTTGAGGGCTTCGGGTACAAGAGTGCCACTGTCTGCAAGTCCGCAACCCTTAACCGAACCCCATTTGGAATTTTAGTCACCCATGTGTCGAATGGCTAAGCAGCTCATTGGATCAGATCACTTTTTAAATATATGCATTTGTTTTTTAAATTTATTAGGACAAAGTTTTCTTATGATGGAATGGAGCCATCAATGGATCAACTCATTGGATCAGATCACTTATCCATCATTTGCAATGGAGCCAAAGATTCATTATTTTTTGGCTTGAGATTATGATGGAATAAAGCAAAATGGCTCACTAAACTGTCTGCGCTTCTTTGTTATGAAGCAGCAGACAGTCCATGCAATTTGGACGGGATTTTCACTATGGGTCATCCGGAAACAGTCTCTCTGTGCTTTAGTACAGGGGTAAGACTGCGTACATCCGACCCCCCTTACCCCACCATAGGTGGGAGCCTTTGCGGCACTGGGGTAAATGAAAATGTATGTATGTATTAGGACAAAGTTTTCTTGTTTGAGCTCCATACGCTTTGATACAACATAAAAATTTGTGATTACGTTCAAAAACAGGATCAAGTATACTGGTGAGTACTATACCCTGAATAAATCTGTCTTGTAACCTATTGACAAATGCGCTTCTTACAAATATACTTCGTATGTCGACTTGATCTATTAAATGTCTTACCTGCACGTTTATGAGATCCAAAACTAATAAATAGGTTGAGAATTTACTTACTTCTTAAGGATGTTTAGGATGAGCTAAACCTAATTTAATATGGACATACAAAGATACCCTCATATTGTTTGTTGCATGGACAAGCAGCTGATTAGCTCTCGCAAAGATGTCAGTAAACCGCATGGACATTGACTACTGGTTACTAATTCTGCATTAACTCACATTCTTAATTATTTCCTCAGGCTGCTGAGGAGACGAGGTGGCATATGGCTAACTGCATAAGATCTCTCTGCAATGCTGATCTTCGAGAAGGCTTTCAGTTGGGGAAGGATGTTACTCTCCCTGAAACGTACATGCATTTGTATCAGGACCCACTGAGAAATGTGGGGGGGAAACCGCCTTCCAAGCGAACTTTTCTCGCTTTCTTTGCGGGGAAAATGCACGGCTACGTCCGCCCCATTCTTCTGAAATACTGGGAAAACAAAGATCCTGATATGAAGATCTTTGGCCGCGTGAACAAGAAAGAGTACATGAAGCACATGAAGAATAGCAAATTCTGCATTTGCGCTAGAGGGTACGAGGTTAACAGCCCTAGGGTCGTGGAGGCGATCTCCTATGAGTGTGTTCCTGTAATCATATCAGACAATTTTGTTGTCCCATTTCTTGAGACATTAAACTGGGAATCCTTTGCGGTTTTCGTGCTGGAGAAGGACATACCGAATCTCAAGAACATACTCGAATCAATTCCGGAAAAGAGCTATTTGAAGATGCATGAGAGAGTTAAGCATGTGCAAAGGCATTTCCTTTGGCATTCTAGTTCTGAGAAGTATGACATCTTCCATATGATACTTCATTCTATTTGGTATACTAGAGTTTACAGGACGACACACTAGCAGTCCCATTGCTCCATACAAAATTTGTGTGTTCTTTTTTGTTTTAATCATCATGTACATACAGAAAACACTATGAGTGTATAATTGGGTTCTCTGCTTTTGCACAGTGTTGACTTGTGATATTATGTTATGCTCATCGTTTTCCCTCAGACAGTTGGCCATACATAACTCATAGGTGATAGACTGATAGGTGTTGCGGGAGGTTACTAGGTCCCGGCTTGCCCATATTTAGAACTCTATATATACATTGGCCTATTTTGATAGGGTTGGGAAATTCTATCTCCAACCCCCCATTTGCTATGTAAAACCACAAAACTTCCAGAGTAATTTCCTTTATTCTTTTAATTCCTAGTATACCCTTTTTAAATCAGTATGCTTTCCAGCAAGAGGAATGAAAGAGAAGAGGAATGTCTACGGGCATAACTGCATAAGCACCCCTTTCTCCCGATTTCGTCCAACCAGGGAGTAAAGATAGAAGCTTGAATGTTTTCAGCTGTGAAGCTTTCCTCCCTCAATTTTTTGGGCTTCTGATTAACTTTAGATGCTTCTGATTATGTTAGTAAATAGCTCAATAGCAGTGTTGTGCGTATGAGCGTATGAGCGTATCTATTTACGCTTGACCGGACTAGACTAACAATGACAAACTTATGTAAATTTAGGATGTTTTTTCAGGCCCAGACCAGACTTAAACGGACCAGATCAGACCTCTATAGTTATAAAATACACAAATACCATACACTTATCAAACTAGTCCAGACTAGACGAGATCAGATTTGAGCAGATCAGAGCACACCAACAAATTTCAATCCAAGTAAAAACATTCATATATAATGAAAACCCGTAAAATAAATGAAACACTTGTTTTTGACAAATTTCAATCCAAGTAAAAACATCCTTATACAATGAAAACCCGTAAAATAAATGATACACTTCTTTTTGGCTGTTTTATTTATGTAAGGTATGAGGAGTCCATTGACCATCAACTCGAAAGAAGATGCAGAATTGAATTCGACGTCACTGACCAGAACTATGTATAGGGTAAGTAATTGATGTGCATCCCCATAAGTTAATTAAATCATGTCACCACAAGCTTCTTGTGACGATAGTTAAGGCATAGGTTAGTGAGTTCTTCCACGGCACTATCAATTTGTTTGTTACCTCTCATCTTTATTGCGTGATTCACTTGTTTGACTTTCGCCCTCAGTTCCTCACATTTTTCTTCCCCCAAAAACGTTTTGACCGCGTTGACCACAACCTCTCTTTGCAGCTTCCCATTCTCATCCCTCTCAATCTCCAAAGCAATGCCCAGCTCAACTGCCATTCTTGCATGGGCGGGTTGGTCAAGATGCATGGGCAAAGCTAGAATGGGAACCTCAAACTGCACGCTCTCCAGCACCGAGTTCCATCCGCAGTGACTCAGAAACCCTCCGATACTCTTGTGCCTCAGAATCCGGGCTTGCGGGGCCCACTTTTCCACTATCAGCCCCCTCTCCTTCACCCTATCAAGAAACCCTGAAGGCAGTGCCTCATCCAAAGTCATTGTTTCATCATCACCTCCCTCCGGAAACCTAATGACCCAAATGAAATTCACCCCACTCAGCTCCAGGCCATATGCCATTTCCTCCAAATCTTCTTTTCGCATGTAGTACTCACTACCAAAAGACACGTACAAGCATGACCTTTCCTCCTTCTTGTTTAGCCATTTCATGATCGTCACATCATCCTTCCCCTCGTCCACTCTGACCAACGGCCCCACTGTCACCATCTTCTTTCTGCAAAGCTCAGAAAGGTACCTATATTAAGTTATCCCACATCAGTCAAATATTAAGATTCAAACTAACATATACTCAGTGTAAACTATTGAACTCCTCCTAACTTATGGATGACAACTATTTCTATCATGTTGACTTTTATATTGAAACACATATTGTTGTTCCAATGAAGTTGTTTTTAGGATGAACACACAAGTACACACATGTTACTCTTCTAATAAAGTTCCTTTTAGGATGGAAACACGAGTTTTAATAGTACCTGATGTACTTCCCGTCGATCTCATCAGAGCTGTTAACTAAAATGATCTCGCAAGACCTGTCGGCCCCTTTGAAGATGAACCCGGGCTCCCATGGAACCTTGAGGCTCTTCATCTCGTGCTTGGTCGCATATATTGCCGAGAAAGGGAACGGTGTCGAAGTGTCATCCTTGTAGGCGTGTATAGTGTGGTAAAAGTAGGAATACGCGGATGATCCGATGATGAGGAACAAAACGGAGGGAATGTTGCGTGACGTGGCATCCACAGGGACCCACGGTTGGAAACCGTCGTAGATGACGAGGTCAGGGGAGCAAGAGTCGAGGACGGATGAGAAGTTGGAGGCAGCGGCGATGAAGGAATGGAAGAGCGTTGGAATGAGGTGGTGGGGGAGACCGGTTGTGGTGTGGCGGTGAGGGGGGAGGTCGCTGCCGCGGGAGGATAGCTTGAGTTCGAGGAGTGTGATGTTGTCGGCGAAGATGGGGTTGTTTAGTTTGATGGTGTCGAGGACGATGGGGGTGGAGTAGAAGTAGATTTTGAAATTTTTGCGGGAGAGGTGTTTGGCGAGTTCTAGGTATGGAGTTATGTGGCCATGGGCGATCCATGGGAACATCAATACTTTTAATGGTCGAGCACTGCAACTACTTTCCATTATCGCACTGATTGATCACGTTGTTACTATCATAGTATCATGCTCACACGTATTTATGGGAGTTCGGAGGGAAGGGAACAGAAATGAATGCTCTCAAGGTAGGTGGTTGGAGGCAGTAACTTTTTTTTTTCTTTTTCTCCGTGTAGCATGAACGATGTAACTCACGTGAAAAGAAATGTAACTTACGCTGATAAGAAATGTAACTACAAGCAATTGAAAATGTAACTTGTCTAATTAATAAGCCTTATAAATAATAAAACATTGATTTCAATGAAAACAAAGAGTTTAGTTGCTCAATTACTTTACATAAATAGTGAACATGTTTTTTTATATTAAGGCAACAAATAATGTTTTTTCTTAATTTCATTTTTTTTTGTTGCAAAAAACACATTTTTGGCAATAAAATGATTTTTTTGTTTCAATAGCAAGGGCTTCTTTAAATAGGGAATGCGTTCTATTCTTAATATTATGGGCATAATTTGTTTTTTAAAAATAACTTGTTTTGCCAAATAATTAATTTTTTTGCCAAAAAATATTAATTTTCGTGATGTAAATTGTGTGTGTTGAAATGTAACTCGCGTTCTGCCAAATGTAATTTCAGTTATGAATAAATGTAACTCATGCTCTGGAAAATGTAACTTGATGAAGAAAGTTGACATGTAACTCACGTTAATAGATATGTAATTTAGGCAAATGATGGTGTAACTTGAGTGTGGGTAAGATGTAAGAAGGTGAGTCTTCATCATTAGAGCTGAACTTTCATATTCAAAACATTATTACTATTATACATATATATTAAAACAAAAATTTAGCTTGAAATCTTTATATTTGCCCACATATGCACACTCCAGATCCAAAATACGACATCTGCAACTTTAGAAATAAGGGATAGCCGCATATTGCCGATGTTTACTTCGATCAATTCGCAGGGGATGACGTTGAGATACTCACAGCGCCTACACCAGCAATGGACCTAATCATTACATCAGTGCAACCAATTTCAGGGAAGGCGGTGGGGCGACGGCGAAACTTCTGGTCCCATATCTGGAGTGCAGCGGAGTTCCATGGTGAGATGAAACAACTAAGGAGATGAAAGGGATGTGGCAATTTGCTCTTTTTTTAATAGGAAAGCATAAAACTGTACCGTTTTGGGATCGGTACACCATGCTCATGGTGGGCCGATCCCACGATATAATTTGCGGTTGGAGGGGAAAGAGAAGGTAAGGTGAGTAACTCTTCGTCGTATTTGAGAATAATAAATTTTGAAAAAGAGAATCTTTTAAGGAATTATAATTAAAATCACTTTGAGATATGACAAATTCAATAATTTAATTGATATTCATTAAGCTTAAATTATATTTTTATTAATTACTCTTCAAAACCCTCCAAATTGAGGGAACCATCTCTTTCAGTTTCTTAAACTCCCAAACATGAAAATCATGATTACAAACCCCATAAACCTTCCCTTCCCGTCCAAAACCCAACTCCCAAACACATCCTAAGGAACTAGACTAATGAATGGTCAGGGTTTTCTAAATATATACTTTAGATTAATGAGTTTTAGTAGTTCATTAGATTAGCGTGCTCTTTGACGTGCTTTGACGTGCTCCTTATTAGTAACCCTTTAAATGCTTAATTTTTAATTTCCATCAAATTGAATATTTTTAAAAAATAACCCAATAAATGATAATTTTAACTAAATTTAAAATGAATATAAGTTCAACTACGGATGAACAATTCGGTTTACAAGTTCGGTTTTATCAGTTTCGGTTTGGGATATACTATACCAAACTAAAAATATTTTTGTTTCTGTTTGGTTTCAGTTCAGTTCGGTTTCAAGTTCAGTTTGCCAAAGTGAAAATTATTAGATTCAATTTAGATCGATTTGATTTGGTTTCATATGTTTATTGTTTTATTAGCAGATGAAAATAGTAGTTCATCTCATCTTCTTGTATTTACTAGATTCTCACATGTACGATGCACGAGAACAAAATTTGATAGAAGGGAGGGGAAGACATGTGAGGGTTGGTAACCCTCCGGTTTGTGTTTGAGAGTTTAAAGAATGTGGAGGAATGGTTAATTTGAAAGGTTTTTGTAACCCTCCAAAACCCCTCTAATGCTCCATTTCTAAATTCCTCCAAAATGAGAGATTTTGAAGGATATCTGATTAAAAGATAATTTAAGCTAAATTTAAAATGAATATCAGTTCAACTATTTGAATTCACCATATCTCAGAAGTGATTTTAATTATAATTCCCTATAAAACTCTTTTTTATTCAACATGAAAAGAAGGATGCCATCCCCAGAGTGCTTCACCATGACGAACGGGGAGAGACTGAGCTTGTGCAAAACATGCATCACTGCCCTGAGGATATGCAGGCAACCAGCAACGTAGGTAGTCCTGACCATAGAGTTAGACTAGCATTTTCCTATCGGGGTCTTGTCATCTAGTTCAATGTCCTTGTTA